ATCGACATTTTTTGTGATTTTAAACGACGCCACGTCAATGCATAATAATTAAATAATGTCAATAATCGAAGTTTGTATTATAATATAAAAAAAACATTTAGTGTATACCTATTACAATATTGTATTCTAAAAATATATCATAACTTAATTCATTAATTAAAATCAATATTCATTATTAAATCTAAAATATTATGGCGTACCTTCAAATTACAAGTACAATAATAAAGGACTTTCACAGTTTTCAAATCTACTTATACGAGTATAATTAAATTTTCTTTGATATTATTTTATAAATATGATTATAAAATAGTAGATACCTAATTAATATATTAAAAACACTCACATCCTAACCTAACCTAAAAAATCAAAGAAAAATTTAGAACTAATTAACCAACAAACGTATATGCACTCTTTATATATAACTATATAACTAATGATTTTGTAAGATTCATAATAATTACCACCATTTTAACTTTGTTTATTGTTTAATAATAATTATTTGGTTTTATCAAGTTTATAATGACCAAATAAAATATACGAAAGTTTGTACAAGTTTAAAAGAAATTAAAAGTTTATTATTCTCATCCCTCTCGCCTATTGATTGAAACTCTTAGCACACCACGTATATTATAAAATATCGACACATAGTAGCTATTCTCTGTGCAATAAACTTATATCACATACTTAACGCTTGAGATAAGTTTAATTATCATATTATGCTATTGTAGGGCATAAAAATATAAAATAATAATAATAATATATAGGTAATATGAATATATAATATTAATATAAAGTATTAATATAAAATAAATAATAATAATAATAAGAAGAAGAAGAAGAATAATAATAATAATAATATAATAATATAACAATAATAATATAATATAATATAATAATTATAATATGTTATTTTATATTTTATATTTTTTTATAATTATAATATTATATAATATAATAATATAATAATATTATAATAATTATAATATTTTATTTTATATTATACTATGTTATTTTATATTTTATATTTTTTTATAATTATAATATTATAATAATTATAATAATAATATTAATATAAAGTATTAATATATTTATTGTACTAATATTTATGAGTTGTGTCGTTTCATTGCTTATAAAATTTACAATAATAAGACAATACTGAATAAAAGTAAGAGATACACATTGAGGCTAAGACCCAATATGTTTTAATTTTTTTTTATATTACCAATAATTTACTTATAAAATATACTTCTTTCTCTCTTCCTTATCCCGCGCTCTAATTGTTGATTGTCATCGTCTTGTTTTTTCTTACTTATACGAGTAGTATAACGATCATAATAGAATTCGTGTACTTCTCTGAGCTTAAGAATTGCCGAAAACAACACTTATTTCCAACAGTGTTTTTTATTATTTATTTATTGTTATCAAGCCAATTCATTATTTTTAGAGTACTGCACACACTTATACAATGCAATATATTACTATAATAGATAATAACAATATAATAAAAATGATATCGTTTTTTTTTTTTTTTTTTTATCTAAAATCACTCAAATTATTTTTTCTGACAACTTTGTAAAAAAACGTACATATTACAATATTCAATACTTTTTGATTCTGAGGTTGTAGTGCTTATACCTTATCAACTTCTTCTACAATAAGTATTAATTATTTTACAATACATAAAAACAGCTGTCAATTTCAATGCAATATTGTATTATTGTGAGCGGATGTTTTCGCAAGTCTCAGATCGGTTGATTTGAAGGAAAAATATTGAATCAATTTTCTGTTCCGAAGCAATTACTCATTCTCATTTCTCGAGTATAAATAAACAAATATTTTCAATCACATAGTCACCTAATAACTTAAAGGTAATAATATTACCCGGTTACAGATCCTCAAGACCAAATAAAATAAAATCAGTAGAATAAACGATAAGTAATCTGAATAATATTATAATCAAGTGATTAATGTGACATAATTAAAACTCTTTCCACTTAGTGCATATTTCATACCCATGTTAACTTTGGTAAATAATACAACTATTATAACAATTACAATTTAAAATTATTGGTATAACATTGAGATATCGAACCTATAATCAATATACCTTTCAGTAATTTTACACCACCATCAAAATTTAAAATATATGAGCAATAATAATTATTTGACCATCGTTTGATGTCTTACTACCCGATAATTTACTATTATATTTAAAACTTCTAACTCAAATGATACTATAGGTACAATAATTCATGTGAAATATTTTAATTTTAAAAATAGGTATAAAATTTAGATTAAGACAAAATAAAACAGGCATGTGTACGATTTTACTTGTAAAATAAAATAATAAAGAACTGTGGTTATAAAGGAATAATATATCAATAACATTAAAAATATTCGTTCTCTATCTAATAAGTAATAACACATAATTTTATTATTTATTGCGTGATATACGAAATTAAAATTAAAAACATCATATTGTATAATATAGCAGATAATGTTATACGTATTTTAATAGATTATTTTGAATTATTAAATCCTTAAGAATATTTGTTTTATTATTTCACATTAAATTGATTGCGAACGATTATAAATTATAAATGTATAATATATGACTATCAGACGAATCGAGGGTACATAGAATATACTCAAATGTCACATATTAATTTGAAAATCATGAATCGAGGGTACATAGAATATACTCAAATGTCACATATTAATTTAAAAACTGTTCGTGAATATATATGTGATGTATAAGCAAATATATTATTACTCTAAGTTATAAAAATACACAAATATTTAAAAAAAAAAAAAAACTGAAAGTTTTTAAAATTAAAATGTTTTAATACTATACCTATTCAGTAAAGTGTATGATTTTACCTTCATATATTATTATGATTTATTTTTAAAATCAATAAAAATAAATGTGACTTGTGAAAAAATAGTCTAGTTCAATTTAAAATATCTTATAGTTTACCACCTCGTTAGATATCTAAAGTTATAGATCGAGTACAGTTGACAACTAATAGTCGTATTATGACAATAATTTAAAATACCTTGCAAAATTTAATTAAAATTTCCAAATGGAACTTATGCTGTATAATATTATGATATAAATTCTTTTTAATTATATTATAGGTATATACTTACTATTGAGTCATGTTGCAATTTAAATTTTAATGTATAATATAGTTTGAATTATGTATAAAATTTAATTATTTAGCTGCAAATAGCCGATCTCTATACGTACACCAATTCACGCAGGAGTTTTATCGATTCCGCCGTTTTAATATCGATTCTGTCTGATATTTGTGTATAAATTGATTCCGCCGGCTATCGATTCTGTCCGGTATTTGTCTATATTGATTCCGCAGAAAAAATTGCTTATGTTAATCATATAAAGTATATTTTTTAATTAACAGTACAAGTTATAATAAAAACATTTAAAAAAAAATAATTTATTGTCATCCATAAAAAAAATATAACATAAGTATAAAGTACCTAACAATGTACCTCTAACTTGTACCCCTTTTATGTAATAAAATATTAACATAAATGTAAATGTAAGCATTTTACATTTTGCTATTATTAAAGTAAATAATTTACAAATATTCAGTGGATTAATAGCCAGCGAAATCAATATGTAAAAAAATTTGGCAGAGTTGATATGCAGTGCAATCGATAGATTTCTTACAGGTAAAAAGGTCATTTCGGCGCAATCGATATACGTCCATTCGCGCATATTACATAGAAAATAAGAGCCTTCTGTTGTCATGAAACGCGACAAATATTTTAATATAAAAGTACGGTTTAGTTAGTGAAACTGTGACCTCGAGTATATCTGCATACATAACCATAATTTTACTGAGTCAATGAAACTGAATGTACCTGGTTTAACTATGGTGACTGCAATCGACAATTTTAGACTGGTCGTAGCGACACAAACATTGGTTACTATCAGTGGCAAATCCAAGGTTGAATCCTGGGGAAGACCTTCTAAAAAGATATTTTTTCTTACCTAGTTGAAAAAATAAGAACATAATAATTTTTGAATCGTCTTGTATTACAAGCTGTTCTTTAAGCAGTTCATATAACATAAATCTTAATTACAGTGTTATCAATAATTGATGCGGTGTGCAGTTTCATTTAACACAATATTAGTAAAAGCAAAGTGTCAAAATAATAAAATATTATCAAGCGAATATTACAACAATTTTAACCGAGTATTTAAAATATAATATTCTATTAATGAAATTATATTAACGCTAATTAAGTTATAATTTTTGATATATTTTTTTTTAGTTTTTTTTTTCCTATAAATGTCAATAAAAAAATGTTCGATATGTCAAAAAGCTTAAAATTTTAATACAAGCCATTCCTCGTAAATCGTTATTAATAGAAATAAAAAAAAAAAATTGCAAATTATTTTGTAATTAAAAATTCATAAAAATTGTTTTTTTTTATTTAATATCTGAATGTTCAATACAAGACTTTCGTAGAAGTAATCAATCCATTCTAAAACCAAAAATCTAAAAATAAAAAAACAGATTAACACAACTATATATTTTATAGACATTTGAAGTTCAAATCTGCAGGACGAAATAATTACACGTTATTTAAACATTGAATGACGATGTCAATAATTGTTTTGTCATGATTCAAAAACATTATTCACGGGGATCAAAGCCTTTATTACCTATATCATTACGAAATTTACTGCCCCCGGATTTGTCACTAGTCGCCATTATACTGGCATATGGGTTTGTTTGAGTTAATAGCTACAAGACAACAAAATTCAACGCCCCTGCCCTCCCGGAGGATAATAAAAATTAAAAAAAATTAAAAAATTAAAAAACTTAAAAAATGTAAAACAACAGTACCGGTCGCGCACCGTCCAATATCTAAATAATAACACTATAATATTATGTGTATTAAAAAAAAATGGGCGCGCGATCGTTTCGAGACAATATTTCAAGCCGAATTGTTGGTCGTTTTTGCAGTTTGTCTGTGGTTTCGTGCTGCTGTGGACGCTGACGCTGATCAGCATGGACCGGCACCGGTGCATCGTCGTGCCGCCGTACCGTTCGCAGCTGACGCCCCGCCGGGCCACCGTGCTCACCGTGCTCACGTGGCTGATCGCGCTGGTGGTGTTCATGCCAGTGCCGTTCTGGTTCCACGAGCAGGCCGTGATGGGGGACGGCGCCGCGGTGAACGTGTGCACGCTGGTGTTCCCCAAGAACGACACGTTCAGAATGTCCATCGTGTTCACCGTGTCCGTGGTGTCGCTGTCCTGCGTCCTGCCGCTATCGCTGTTCGTCTACCACTACCAGCGGATATTTCACAAGCTGAACAAGACCCGACGGCGGATCGAGCACTCCGTCTCGCACCGGTCCGCCGCCGCCGTCCACACCACGTCCCGGAACAGCCTGTCGCCGCCCACCAACGGTTCCACGCCACAGGTACGTACGCGCGTACGGTTATCGTGTTATACCGCGGTACATCGTGGTAGCAACGAATAATAACAACTGAGCGTTCCGCGGTCAGCTCGGCCGGTTTGTGTGAAGTCGCGAGACGGGCGCGCGGCTCGGTCGCGTCTGTCCGCGTCGTGTCGTGACCGGAAAACATTTGTACTCGGCCCGACTCGCGGTAGACCGTGGTCAGCGAACGATACCGTGATTGAAACGGCCAATCGGAACACGACCACGCGAGGAAACACGACGCGGCAGACGACGTAGCTGTGAGCCGCCGACTTCGTGGCTCGTGTGCATGTGCATCGCCGGTGCTCGTGTGCATAAACATAATATACGTAATGTAATCGTATTAAAATCATCGTGAAATGTATCGTACGTGATTTACTCTGCACGATTTGAGTGTAACAATATAGTGTACAATATAGTGTTTCTTACGCATAGTGTAAACTTTACACTGTAAATGATATCGATAACAGCATTTGACCCAGCTCATTATCCCAGTAGGTGTGGATACATACGGTGTTTTTTTTTCCTTATTGTGTTTACAACTAAATTTATCAAAACATTAGCTTTTAGATTGTGTTTTCATCGTAGATTATTATAACGACCAACACGATTTACATTAATTGACTATACACATTATACGTTTATGAAAATGCGAATATTTTAATTCATTACAAATGCATACTCCTATACTATGTCTATATGATACAATGCATATAAAAAATAAACTCAAGGGTCAAATTTGAGTGGAAAATAGATATGTTTAGAGATTACAATAAAAAAGACGAAGAGTATATTTTAAAATAATAGGGTATGTATAAACATTTTTCAATATATTTTTGGCAATCGCTTACCTCATCTATCGCACTTCGTGGAAAGAATAATGTTATATATTATAAGTAATATAATCATTTATCTTGTATGTACCATTAACCTATCTGTGAAGGTTTTTGTTGAATCTATACTGCTACTAAATAATAGCATTCGAAAAATTTCGTCTCACTAGCAACTTCAAATCCCAAGACCATAATTATTGCCATTAGATAAATAATACGAGTATACAGTGTACAGAATTGAACGCTGCAACAATACACACGGACACCGAATTAAAACGGAATACAGCAGCGTCAGAAAATGAATAGTATTCATGTACAATATAGGTACATTACAAATGTATTACAATATATATACACTGTTCGTCAAACGATACAATTTGTATAAATTTTATTACAGTCGACATATTGATTGTTATTAATTGCGTCTAGACTTGTACGGTACAGAAAATTGTACAAAAAACAGACGTATTTCAGTCATAATAAAGATCTGTAGTAATAGCAATCCGGGGATATTCGGTTAATAATTGAAAACCCTAAAAAAACATCTTTGAATAATTTATTCGTACGAATAAACGTTTAAAAATAACAGGCGTGTTTCAATAGTTAAATATTTGATTATAATTATTATTTATTTGATCGACTATATAAGTATTTTAGATTGTGTTATTATAGCTCTCATTTATTTATTCCTGTATACACCCATATATCGCGTTATTTCAAGCACTATTTATCTAATATTATTTATTTAATTCACTTTTAGTATAATTTGTATACATGAATACTCTAATACTTCACTTGTTTAAGGTGTTAGAATTTTGTATTCCAAGATTCTAAAAATATAAATATAATTGTTTGAGACATGGTAATAAATTTGTTACATATAGATTGACCATAAAATAAATGCTAAATATAGATTTCCTAAAAGTTACTACGCAATTGACCAATAATTGCTAAAATACTGTTCTGGTGGAAATATTAACGTGAAAACAAAATATGTCCTATGTTCCACTCACGCAATTTTTCTATAATAATGAAATTTTATACTATATTTCAGTGTTGGGAATAGATAATTAATAATTTATCTAGATAAAAATAAAGATGACTGTACTAATTTTTATCTAAATAAAAATAAAGATAATTACACTAAATTTTATCTAGATAAATATCAAATAATTTTATTAATTTTACAAATATTCAGTGATATAGGTACATGTATTAGATAAAAAAAGCTTAAATTTGAAAAAAAAAAAAAAGTTAATTTTTGAATAAACTTCCTTAGAAAATAATAAGTCAATCTCTGCGTTGATAGAACAAAAAACTTTACATTTGAAAAAAAATAATATTTTTAATTTTAATTTTTTTTTTTTTTTATTCCATAAAAATAAATTATCTAGATAGGTAGTAGGTACTCATAGATAACTAGAATTTTATCTAGATGAAAATAAATGTAAATGAGTTGAGAGTTATCTAGATAAAATAAAAGATAAACCAATTCTATCTGGATAAATTTATCTAGATATTTCTCAACACTGATTATATTAAATTAACTTAAAGATAAATGTATTCCAAAAACATTTTTTTTGTTATTAACGTTTCTTTGAAATATACTACCTTTGAAACTTTAATTAAAACCATTGGAAAATTCAGAATTATGAAGTAAAATCAGCTTTAAGTTTTCAATATAAAATATAGCGTGTAATTATGTTTTACAAAAACAATTTGAGTAGCGATTTCCAATAATTTTAGAAACCATATTGCCACCCTAACCGCTGAAACTATAATGTATGTATTATATACTTATAACACAACATATATATTTTAATAGTTTATATTAAACATACAACATACAACCTTCCTTACTTTATTTGCATAATATCGAATACTTATTTACCTATATAACTTTATAAGTTTAGAACTTTTGTCATTATAAAAAAAAAAATTTATTGCAAAACAAAAATTATGATACACTACTAAAAGTAAAAACGACTATAACGTTAAAAATATGTCAAGCATAAAGGTTATATTTATTTAACCAGTACCTATTGGAAAATAAAAATAATAAAAGTAAGTAAGCTTACCAAAAATAATTAAACAATTTCATTCTCAATATAAATTAGATATACAGCGTGATTCATCAAGCATGCTGACCCCCTTTATATATTTAATAATGCAGATATTAAAATAAGGTATAAAATCTGAAATTTGGAGTTTTCGATATTATGCTTTAGACCATATTTTTAAATTGTTAAAAATGTTGTACTACTTAAGCAATGTCCAGTGGAATACAAGTTTCTATTTTACAAATAACCATCTGGCATTTCTTTTCAATTGTAAATTATTAAGCGAATAATTTTTCTGGATATTTTAATAATTCCAACGTACTAAAATTAAAATACGAACTTATAATTTTTGAGGTATTTAACATTGTATGCTAATTTATAGTTCCCCAAACATTATAGAAGTAAATTTCAATGGCTGTAATCTTTCCATCCATAAATTTAAAAATGCCTTAACCCACTAGAGTATTGCATATTAATTATAGAGACTTCGACGATAGTAAACATTGTAACGATCAGACTGTTTATAATGGCAAACTACAATCAACCAAAAAATAATTATTACCAAACTATTGTAGAACGTATGCTTAAATAATAGCTAAAGTACACAAACTAATATAATTTTGTTTAAATAGACAACTGCAGTGCAATTTCAAACTACATAAATAGTTACACCCCTGCAATTATTTTTGCTTCAATAATACCTATTTAGTAGTTTAGTTTAAAATTAATTTTAGAAAATGAATTATATAAAAATAATAAAATGTATTTAACAAATTAAATGTTTTTCCAAATGTTTAACTGTCAAGTGTACATTAAAAAGACGTCTCACCTGCACAATATTTTCTCTCTCTTAAAAACGCATAACATATCAAATTTACATTCAGCAATTCTTATTTAATTTCATTAGTTAAAATATTTGAGTGAATTTACCTATAATTAAACAAAAAGGTAATAAAATATTCTGTTTTTAATAATATAATATGTTTTTTGATATTTTAACTCTGAAGTGAGTTATAAGCGTGTAAAAAATGCTTATAACTTACTATAAAATAATATTTTTCGAAATATGTACAATGTACAGTAGCTTAGAACTGTGAATAAATATTACATTATTTCACGGAAACAAATTATTAATTATAGATATACTCGTATAGTTACAATAGTTTTAAATAAAATTTTATTTCGACTTAACGTATAATTACTCGTATATTTTTGTTAATTTGAAAAGAAAGGTGAAAAACATAACATATAAAAAGATTTTTTAATACAAACAGTAAATAAAATTAGTCGTCAGTTTTTTTAACAAAATATATTTCCAAATTTCGATCAATTGTTTGCACGGAATCGCAAAATTTATGTTTACTTTTTAATCGTATGCGTATATATACTATATATACAAACAAAAATTTAGGCATGGACCAATTGCGCCTAAAACAAAGTTTTTGTTTAGAGTCGGTGTACCAATTACGCTTGTATTTAAATTTTCTTATCTTTAAATATGAAAATATTGTTGTTCAATCTAATTCCATCAACATCAATATAAACAATCTACACATAAAAATGCTTAAAAATTAAAAATGAATTTATTGATCAATTGATAACTGGTTTAAGTGACTGGTTATAATATACTTTAAAACAGTATTGGAAATATTACGAAATATTATTATTATTACGCATATTTAATCGTACAAGTATGAATTCGAGTGATAAACGAAAATAAGTTTTCATTATCGTTGGATGTTTATTAAACTTAACATTGTTTTGTTGCACAATATATAAATACTGTACTATATAGGATAACACATTGATGATACTTATATCCTGTGTTATTTAGTATTAGTTTGAATTGTAAAAAAGCTTAAATATGAATTATTATATAACTGATAAAACTTTAATTTTGAATAATTGACTATATTTATTTATTTTTATTATATCATGTATTTATACTCGCAAAACAATCGATGTATGTTATAATATGATAAGTAATTATAGAATTATAACTAACTAATAAGTTTTTTCAAATGTTTTAACTGTTTTAAGCGCAATTGGTCTATTGACCCTAAAATATTTAGAATACAATTGTCACATA